CAGATACGACCGTATTACTGAAAGTGCACTCCACTTTTAGGCTGGGGCTTCTGCTTAGGATGAAAACTTTTTTAGGTATGAACTTGTTAATCAATTCAGTGCTTTAGGAAATACCGAGGACCTACCTGAGCTCAAGCCTTACTAAAGCAAAGGGAAAGATATAAAGAGGAAGAACAAAGACAATACAGGCCGGCGCATACTCTGGAAAGTGATGCTTTTTGCTTAGCTTGCAAAATCATATCAAAGATGTCCCTTTGTTGGAAAAATGGGTGCTTATTTATCTAATGACAATTGCAATTGAAGTAAACAATGATCACATGATTTGCTTTTGCAATAAAACAGTGATAACGCCATCATTAGCATTCTCATTAGACAAACAGCCATAATTATTTCGTACACAATTAGAGTTTTGAAGGTCAAGTTCTCCATTCTTGATCCGTTTATGCACATTCTTGTCACAAAATATTCTAGAAAGCTATCATCATTTCTCATTAATACCCGTCTCGTGCAGGTGATGGGCCTGTGAGGGTGGTTGATGACTAGGTTCACGTACACAACATTATTATTATTGTTATTTTTATAAACTCAAACATATCAACGAAATAAACAAAATGGCCAGTAGAATGAGTACTACTTACTGACGCAGACATTCTCAAATTAACCGAAATTTGCAATGACTTACGAAAGCTAAAGGTTACCTTGAAGAATTTTTATTTTTATAAATGGTATAACATTTCTTTGCTGATTGTTACAAGGAAAAGAAAGGAACCATAATGAAATTGAGTGCTCAAGAAGGAAGTTGCTTTTCGAAGTGGTCCTAAAGGCAATACATTATATACGCGTTAAAAGTGAAGGCATGCATGTGTAGCGGTCCATATTATTTCTATTAAATTATGGTTTTCGAATATTTTTGTCAATTCAAGTGTTTGCCATACTTACCCCCACATCCAAAATGCATGCAGATGGTCCTTCATTTTAACCGGTGGGAACAGGGAACCATTAACTTATGGCCAAGAAAGTTGTAACATACATATACCACACAAGAGATTTCGTATTTCTAATTAACTGCGAATGAAATGCTGAGCAATTGAAGATGATGGTCACAAGTTAAAGAATAAGTAAAGTTTAGACATCACAAAGGACAGAAGCCAGTGACTCTTGCTCCTGCTATTAAATGTTAAAGTGGCTATCCCTGGCTTTATCTTGCAACCTAGCTCCATACCTTACAATTAATTATCACTTTTACATTTTAACAAACAAATACAGGCAGAACCGTTATGGTCCTAGTTGGTACTCGATGGTAGCAAGTATTTCTACCCCAACAACGCCAAAAGATTTTAAGGATATGAAAAATATGTATTGCATCTTACTTTGTACGTAGCCTAGCATTTCTTAGGGAGGTAAGTACACAATGGCGTAGCAAGAAAATTTTGTGAGAGGGATGAAAGAAGTAAGATTCACTATGATCAAGACAAGAAGTAAATTTTTGAGAGAGAGAGAATAACTTTAACATTATAATTATGTAATTTCCGAAGTACATAGTTATAATATATAATAGTAGATAGTAGTAGAAAAAATGAGGTAGTATGTTATCAAAAATAAAAATAAAAATGAGGTAGTATGAATATTCTCCCTCGTATAGTAAAGCATTAATTGCACCTATTATGAATAATATGTATTAGGGTTATTAGAGAAAAATGTACATCATTTTAAAGCAATGACGAACCCACACTATTACAAGTGTGGGCACTTGCAGACACAAGTTCTTGTGGAAATTTTTTTTTTGCAAAGAATTAAGGGGTGATTTGAACAAGGGATAGGTTATTCTACCTATTCCTATTCTGCCTACCTTAGCCTACTTCTTTCAACACCGTTAGATTACAATTTTATCCAACGGTGGATATTTGCGGAATAAAATAAACCTTTTTTTATCATTTTCTCCCACACAATTTCTCTCTACTCCCCTTTCTCTCTCTTCGACGACCAAGACAGAAAATTTTGGAAACGAAAATCACTTCTTTCAAAATGATAAACACATAATCAGATTTATATTGTACCAGAAAAATACCAGATTTATATTGTAGTCAAAACTGTATTCCGATTTATATTGTAGTCAAATCTGAAAAACAATAAAAATATTCAGAAAGCATTGAAACAATCTCATTAGGAATCGCTTTTGATAATATTAAGATATTTGTTTTTTGTTTAGAAAGGAATGCCTATGTTGAGGAATCTCATTACGAATCGCTTTTGAAGCAATCTGTGTTTTTTATTTGAAACAATCTCATGAATCGCTTTTGAAACAATCTCCCTGAAACAATCTCCCAATTTTGAGGGCTTGTTTTTTATTTGTTTTCTTTTTATATGTGTTTTTTGTTTTTGGAGAAAGAGATTTCTTAGTCGTGGATGGAGAGAAAGGTTGTGAAAGTAAATGAAAAGAAAAAAAAAGGAAAAAATAGTTTATTTTATTCCATAGATATCCACCGTTAGATGAGATTGTAATCTAACGATGTTGAAAGAAGTAGGCAAAGGTAGGTAAAATAGGAATATGTAGAATAACCTATCCCTTTGAACAATTCATAATGTAAAATATGTCAAAGTTAAAATTAGTGTTAAAGACACATGGAAAAGTTGGCTAGTGTGCTGTTAAGTTGGCTAGTGTGCTGTTGGAAATGTCTAGCCATACACCTTTTAGGTATAAAGTTGACTTTACACCCAAAAATATTGAAATTTATTGGAGTTTCTATGAAATGTTGTACAACTCATAATGTAAAAATTTTCACCCTCAATTATAATTATATTTAATATTAAAATAATAATAAAAAATAGGACAAGATTATTTTGCATTGCTATACAAATAAAAAACTTTACAAATAATCATTGCTTGAAATTATGATAGCTTAGTTGACTCTTGATTATTATTTTTTTATGTTAAGTTGAAGTTTTTTTTCTTTTATTGTTTATATTTTTTGTTTTTTAATGCATTTAAAAAATATAAAAAAAAATCAACGCCACTAAATGTGCAGACATAAATAAAATTTTCTAGGACCGCTATTATTTTAAAGGAGGTAAAATTTTGTCATTTTTAAGTGAGAGAAAGAGATAGATCATGAGGAGAGAGAGTAGATAAAAAAGAAGTTTGGTCCATATTTTTATGAGAGTGAAATGACACAATTTATCTTCAATTTTACTTTTTATATAAGGTAATAATTATTACACACAGGTAAAAAGAGAAGTTTATAATGACAGGAATAAATGTTAATTTAAACCTTTTTTTGGTAACAATGTAAACTTTAACTTATATACGATATTAAACGGTTTAATTATTTAAAATTTGACTGACAAGTGCTTTAAAGAGTGAAAGAAATAAAAATACAAAGGAAAATATTTGAATTCTCAACATATATTAAATATTTAATTTTTCATTCAATATTTTTTTTGTTAACAAACCTAATTATTATTATTTTTTTGAAAAAGAACCTAATAATTTATGTTATACAATAGGAAGTACTATTAGTATGTTCTAAATCTACTTTTTCTAGTGTACTTTTATATATAGAATAAAGTTTTTAAATTATTTTAGAAAAAATTATCTAATATTCATTAAAATAATGTAGTTTTAGAGTTAAAAGATTAAAAAATTAGAATGATAAAGATTATTATACCTTTAGAATAAATTAAAATTTTAAATATATCATAATTTTTGTTCTAAAATATTGTTATTTTGATGTACATTAGATAAATTTTTCTAAAATAACTTTAGAAAAAACTAACTTTTTATGTGTATCATATAAACTATTTTCTAATTAAATTCAATAACACATAAATACATGCAGCTGTTAAGTTTTCAAGATAAAAACAAAAACTGTATAATCTTTCAATTATGTTTACCGTAATGCAATCCACCACGGGACAAAGAAACAAGAGTAAATATCATTTTTGGTTTTCAGAAAATTTCACGAGGCCCGTTTTAGTCTCTAGAAAATAAAAAGGCTCATCGTGATCCCTCAAAAATTCAAAAGAACTCATTTAGTTGAAATCGTGGTCCCTCACAAATTTAAAAAAGACCCATATTAGTCCTCAAAAGGACTAAAATGTGTCCAATTTAAATTTTTTAGGGACCACGATGAGCCTTTTTATTTGTTAGGGACTAAAACGGGCCCTGTGAAATTTTCTGAGGACCAAAAAAGTATTTACTCAAGAAACAAACAGCAATGAAGGAAAATTTTATGGGTTAATTTTTTCTCAGGTTAGATAAGAAAAGATTAATTTTCTATACACATAAAATAAGAGAGAGGAGAAAAAATAGAAGAGAGAAAAAAAAAATATAAAGTAAACTTTACCTTTGATTTATGTGTGTAAGAAAAAAAATAAGAAAAAAAAAAAGAGAGAAAAAATATAAAGTGAACTACACCTTATTTTGTGTTTCTTAGAAAAAATATTTTCATTAACCCAAATTTTATACCCACTTTGGCGATTAATGGACGCTATTTAAGTTCATGCGAACTTTTGTACCTTGGTCCTCTACCATACTCTGAAAAGTGAAACGGCTATTTTTTATTTTGTCTCGCTAACGGCCCTTTATTAAAATTCAGCAATGTCGTTTGCGTAACGTCTCTCCGAAGATTCATTCCCTCGGCGAAACGCAAATATCCAAGCTCCACTTAAAGGTTTGCACTTTACTCTCCTCCTCCGTCTCCCGTCGTTTTGATCCGTTTACTATCTTTATTTTATCAAAATTAAGAATGGCGTGTCAACGAAGCCTCTAGCCCCACAAAATGACGTGAACTTATGATTCTATTTACGAAACTACCCTCCTAGACCTCACTAACTCACTTTGCCCCTCACGTCACGGCGAGTGGCATTTATTCTCTTCAACACCGCGCGTACGTGTGTCTCAGTGTCAGCGTCAGCGTCACCCTCATAGTGCCTCAGCTTCATCCCACAAATTTTCGGTGTTAATTTTCGCACTAACACGACAGTTACACTCCTTACTCGCCACACGCACCGGCGAAGCGTAACGGTCATATTTACGTTCCGATTTTCAATTCGTTCAACCTTACTCATAAATTAATAACGGCCATCATTACCTTGATTCTTTTCCGATTGGGTTCAGGGCTTTAATTTTTAGGGTTCTGAGACTGAGCGTGAATTCCAATGATGAGTTTCGAGTTTCGAAATGATTATTATTGTTGTTGATGATTATGGAATATTAGAATTAGAATTTTGGAATTAACAATGGTAGCTGCAATTTCTACTGCGATAAACCCCAAGCGAGCTCAAACTCCAACGAGGCCTCCTCTGTTACCCTCTGAAACGGACAATGCAATCGCTCCTCACAGGCCCAAAGCACGAGAAGTTACTTCTCGCTACATGTCTTCTTCTTCTTCCTCTTCTTCTTCTGTTTCGTCCCCTCCGAGACGATGCCATGCGCCGCTGGTAACCAGGGCGGTGAATTCAACTAGACAAAAGGCTACGCCGACGCCGCCGTCGACGCCGGCGGTCAAGCGGTCACAGTCTGTGGAGCGGAGGCGGCAAGGCACTCCTCGACCTAGTGTTGGTGGAACAGACGCAACGGCTGCTCAGAAGATGCTTTTCACTTCGACGAGGAGTTTGTCCGTTTCGTTCCAGGGTGAGTCGTTCTCGATCCAGGTTAGCAAGGCGAAGCCGGCGCCGCAGCCGCAGCCGCCGCAGAGTTTGAGGAAGAACACGCCGGAGAGGAGGAAGGCCACGACAACGACGCCGGGAAGGGGAGGAGGTAACGGCGGCAATTCGGTTCAGACCGAGAATCCGAGGACGCTGGATCGGCACCGATGGCCGGGAAAATTGCAGCAGCAGCAGCAGCAGGCAAATTGCATGAACAGAAGCTTGGATTGTGCTGATGCCGTGAGAAAATCGGATGGACCGGGGAATGTGGTTCGGTCGTTGCAGAATTCAATGGTGGACGTTCGAGCTTCTCTTGATTCGACAATGAGATCGGAGAGCAACAAAAATGGCGGATCTAATTTGCAGCCTGAGCCTGAGGCTGTTCCTTCTGATAACGAAAGTGTGACTTCTGGTAGTTCTTCAGGAGCACAGGAATGCGGAGCCAAACGAGCGATTGTAGTGCCAGCGAGGTTCTGGCAAGAGGCTAACAATCGATTGAGGCGCCAAACGGACCCTCCATCATCTAGAAATGGTGGAATTGGAAATAAAGCAATGGTTCCTCCTAAGCTTCTGGCGCCGAAAAAGTTACAGTTGGATAGTCCTGTATCGTCTCCACGTGGAGTTGTGAATAGCCGGTTACAAGGTTCTCCTATTCGTTCTGCTGTTCGTCCTGCTTCTCCGAATAAGCTAGCCACGCCTTCTGCGTGGTCTCCTTCCAGAGGGGTGAGCCCCTCTCGAGCCAGAAACGGGGTGGCTAGTAGTCTGAGTAATAGGTTCGGCATTGAGCCTTCTGTTTTGAGTTTTGCTGTTGATGTTCCAAGGGGAAAGATTGGGGAGAACCGGATTAATGATGCACATTTACTGAGACTCCTTCATAACAGGCTCATGCAATGGCGTTTTATAAACGCCAGAGCCGATGTTACCCTCTATGCACAAACATTGAATGCCGAGGTATTTCAAAATTTGAAATTTTGTTTTGTATTTAAACGCTAGTAATAATCTACCTGCCGGTGCATCACTCTTCGAAAGCTGTATTGGGTCTTATTTTGATGGTATGGATGTTAGAAGAAAGATAGTGAATAGATATGTTTATGTTGATTCTAGTTATATTTCCGTATCCGACAACAAACACCAGCCTCGTAGTTGCAATGTAAATGTTCAATCATAGATATCAGAGAGAGATTTTGTATTTATCATACTATTTGCTAGTGTTTGTTTAGTTTATTTTGTTTTAATTTTGCCGAAATATTCTTCCTTGTATCAGAGAAGCCTCTATGATGCATGGATAGCTACCTCGAAACTACGAGAATCTGTTAGAGCCAAAAGAACAGAGTTACAGTTGCTGAAGCAACAGTATAAGCTAATATCCATCCTGAAGGAGCAAGTAAGATCTATAGCTACCCTGAGCTAAATTGACTGGTGTATTTTTGGCTTGATTTGATTACAGAATTTATTTTTTCTCCAGTAGTTAAGTCATGTCAATATGTCATTCAGTCCTTCATGGTGCAGCTGTCATCCCATGGCATCTGGTTTTTGGTGTTCAGCTTTCATTGTAAGTTCTTAATGGAAACTATTTATGCAGATGATGTATTTGGAAGATTGGGCCATTTTGGATCGGGTGTACTCTAGTTCTCTTTCAGGAGCTATTGAAGCGCTAAGGGCTAGCACTCTTCGCCTTCCTGTTGTTGGCAGGGCCAAGGTATTTTGCTTTTAGCTTATTGGTTATTCATTTATTGCTTTAATTATTATAGGTTGTAAGTAGCATAGTAGTTCAGTTGTTATTAATTATTAGCATAATTGGGATTAATATTAAAGCTCTATATTTTACTTCAGGCAGACCTGCTGAAAGTGAAGGATGCTATTTGTTCAGCAATGGATGTGATGCAGGCAATGGCATCCTCTATATGCCTATTGTTACCGAAGGTACGTATTTCTTTTGCCCATACTTCTTTTGTAGATGTTGGATTATATTTGCGATGGTATGATCCTATGTAAGTGTTATTTGATTTTCTAGTAATTTTTAAGTGTTTTTATATCTCCTAGGCTAGGTTATGATTATGGTAGAAAATCAACTTAGGTGGTTTATACACCATGATTACGGCAGTGCATAGGGATCTTTCCAAGCAAGTAAAAATGCATAAAACTTAATTTTATTAAATAATGAGTCTTGCTTATTGAAACTTCCCAGCTAGCTTTTGTGCTAACGGTTCTATACGTAATTGTTAACAAATGCCACATGGTGTGATGGACAAGGATGGTGCTTATCATGGGAACAGAAACAATATACAATCAAAACATGCTCATTAATGATGATATTATCTCTATATATAAAATCTACTCAACATTTGATCAAATCCTATGCTTTTATAATCATCAGAAACTATATTGCCTTACCCTATTTTTGCATGTAATTATACTGTAATAGCCAATGTTGGATATCTGAATCAATCTCTAAATTTACACATAATTTACCAGCTGTGCACTCAAGCTTTTTTCTTTTTGTACTCGTTATACCATTTGAAGAATTCATATTGTACATTGATAGGAATATAGTCATGGAAGTATATGTAGGTATATGTAAGTTGGGTAGTGGGGGATTATTGGAGTATGACAAGTTTGATAGTTAGTATCTATGAAGCACCGACACTTCAAAAACTCTGACGTGTCGTGTCCGACACTTCCCGACACTCCAACACGCGTTGTAGAGACTCAAAAAAGATTCAAAGGTTGCGTTGCATTGCATTTTTAGTTCCAATTATTAGATTCGTTGGATTACTATTACCATCTGATTGAGTTTAATATAAATATTTGGAATATCTTATGTTTCTTTGCAAAATTGATGGGTATTATAAGTTTAACTTCATTTTTGTTTTGTTAAATTATGGAGTATTAAATATAATATACATTATATAAATTTAAAATAATATTTAATATCAAAACGTGTCGTAACGTGTCGAAATCTAACATTTTTTAGAATTAACGTGTCGGAGTGTCGTGTCGTATATCGGTGCTACTTAGATTAGTATATTCTAGAAGAATTGCTGAGGTGGCAAGGTTGTTAGAAGGAATAAAAGCGGTGGAGTGGTGTGGAGAAGGATTCAAATTGGAACTTGGGACTTGGGCTGGGAAACCAGATTAGGAGAGAACCAGAGCACTCTCTAATTGCTCTTGAAACCATTTAGCTTTTCTTGTATTTTCCCTTAATTTCATTACTGTTTGTACTATCTATTTTTGAATAATATACAGAAAATTCAGTTCACTGGGCCAATTTCTTGGTGTTTGTTGCGTTAATCTATGATAATCTTGCTAGATCCTAACAATTGGTATCAGAGCATTCCGATCCTAGGGGTGCTTTGAACGGGTTGATGCGCCGAAATTCGTTTGGAGATCATAGAAGAGATGAGGAGGAGGAGTGCGGAAACGGAAGAACATTTCCGCAGAACCAAACAAAAATTGAATGAGATCGTGCAGTTTTTGCGAAGCAGGGGAAGGAGGTCGAAATCGTTGAAACCAGAAGAGTGTCAGCACAAACGTTCACCTTGTTGATTGGCTAACTCCTAAACTGGAGCTTCCTCGAGGCCATGGTGTGGACGTTGTAGAAAGCCATCGAATGGTGCTGTTGCAGAAACCAGCTACCTTGACGGAGAAGATGACGAAGGAGACGAGTGTGTTGGCGATGAGAAACAAGGTTGGGGTCCAAGATGGGTTTCGAGGAAAATGGAGCCACCTTAGCAACCTCAGTGACGCGCGTACCTACCAAAACGCATCAGGGGGTGAGACGCAACTCAGCTTACTGATTTTCAACAATGAAAACGATAAAGAGCGATGGAATCCGGAACATAGTTGCAAAACCCCCCAACTGAACTTGCTGGAGATTAACGAAGAGGAAGAGGTCTGCAAAGTAAGGAGAAACTTTTATTTTGCAACTCTCGATCTACATTAGTTGTTGACAAGGAGAAACCTCCTTTAAGGGTGAAAGGATGGAGGTGTTGGCAAAGGTTATGGATGTACCAGAGGTGCCGCAGTCGCCAGGGGAGGTGACTCAACCGCTACCATTACCGGAGCTGTCGGACTCAGGCCTGAGCGAAGAGTTGGTATGCTGCAATCACGTGAAGAAGTAGCTGCTACAAACAGTGACAAAGCAAGAGATGGAATGGGAACTAATTGCAGAGTGTGACTGGGAAGAAGTTCGCCCAGATGTAGTGATATTAGCAAAACCATTGGGTCGGGGCATTCTACCGGTTAGTGCAGTTCTTGCAGACAAAGATGTGATGCTTTGCATAAAACTTGGACAGTTGGGTGGGGGCATTCTACCGGTTAGTGCAGTTCTTGCAGACAAAGATGTGATGCTTTGCATAAAACCTAGACAGCATGGAAGTACATTTGGGGGGAATCCTTTGGCCAGTGCAGTAGCAATTGCCTCGCTAGATGTGATCAGAGATGAGCGACTTGTTGAGAGATCTGCCCAAATAGGAGAGGAGATTGGACCCCAACAGTTACTGACAAACATTTCGTCGAGGCCCTTGCTTGGGCTAAATTTATTGCCGTTTATTGTGGTAAAAGCCATTCAAGATGGACAAATATAGGATCTTGGTGGACAACATTTTACTTTGAGCACATGTGGATCTCTACAATTCAAGTAATGGGATCCCGGTGGAAGGTGCTTAGGGGCTAAACCTCACCTTGAGGGCAAGGTGAGTGTTTAAGTGGGGGAGTATTGATAGGAATATAGTCACGTAAGTATATGTAGGTATATGTAAGTTGGGTAGTGGGGATTATTGGAGTATGACAAGTTTGGTAGTTAGTGTATTCTAGAAGAATTGCTGAGGTGGCAAGGTTGTTAGAAGGAATAAAAGGGGGGTGGAGTGTTGTGGAGAAGGATTCAGATTGGAACTTGGGACTTGGGCTGGGAAATCAGATTGGGAGAGAACTAGAGCACTCTCTAATTGCTCTGGAAACCATTTAGCTTTTCTTGTATTTTTCCCTAATTTCATTACTGTCTCAGGCTGTTTGTACCTTCTTTTTTTGAATAATATACAGAAAATGCAGTTCACTGGGCCAATTTCTTGGTGTTTGTTGTGTTAATCTATGATAATCTTGCTAGATCCTAACATACACCTATTTTCATATTATATAGGATTGTCTACCCTGATCCCTGCTTCCCATTTTTTCTCTTTCTGTGCTTAAATACATATTAAGTGAGATATTTGATGCGAGGCAGAATGCAGAATGTCTTTTTTTGTTTATTTTAGTGTTAGGGACAGCATCACGACACTATAAGGAATAACTTGTGCTTTATTATGTGTTCCATTATTGATACCAGTATTCCATTATTTTATTATTGATTTAGTTGTCATGAGTTGTGACTCTTATGTCTGTGCAGTCAAGAGAAAAAGTGGTTATAGATACGCTTGGAGAAAAATAAGGTAAGTGGAGAGATATAAAGGGGGCTCTAGAAGTGATGAGTAGGTTTGAGTCCAGAGTTTACCAAGTCGTGGATAGGCATTGATTTGGGAGGAAAACATTTTGACATCCAGCATTGGCCTCCCTTTTCTCCCTATATTGTTCCTCAATTTTGCTAATGGAGCAAATATATATATCATAATAGGGGTTTGAGATGCGGAGTAGATTGAGTAGTAGGTTTGAAATGGAGTGGATAGGGATTATTTTGGGAGGAAAACATTTAACATCCAGCAATCTGATGAGGTTGATTATTGGCTTAATACAAATCTGGATCTTATTTTGCCTAGTTCTTTTATTCGCGTTGCTATATGCCTATGTGAATCCTTGATATTGATAATTGATATTAGACTCTGCGCACGTTATTGAATGTAGCATTGCCTTTTTAATTTTTCAAAAAAATGTTTCGCTTTTTTATTTGCCTATTTTCTCTGGTTAAAGTAAATATGGGGAAGGGGATGGGGATGTGGGATCCTATTTCGGTTAGGCCTTAAAAGTTCTAACAGGTGTATTTGGCTTTTTATGTCAACCTAGCTAATATGGCTGCTGCTTTTTTATGCGTGCATGCTGGGGCTTATTTTTTGTTTTTCTTTATTTTGCTGATCTATGTATGTGGTTCGATATTGATACTCACTGCTGCTACCTTTGGGGGAAAAAGATATATCATTGTTTTGTGTTAAGCTGATTCGTTGAAATGTGCGTTACTCACCTGCGTTTGAAAGTTATTATTTTCCCACATGTATTTCTCTCCATTTCCAACCTCTTCGTGTAAACATCTGTTCGCTTCATTTTATGTTAATTTATATGGAGGTGATTAAATGTAAGTGCACAACAGTCTTTAAGGATGTAGCAATTGGCATGTCAAAATGTCTGAAAGCATTTGCAATTGATAGGTTGGAGACGTGAATTCGCTGGTGGTCGAAGTTACCAACTTAAGTGCAAAGGAGCGCGTTTTGCTTGAAGAGTGCAAAGACCTTTTGTCAATGATTACAACCATGCAGGTAAATTTCTGGAAAATATTTATTGAAGCTTGAAGTACTTCTTTTGATTTTCCTTGGATGATTTAAATGAAGTTGCCGCCGGTATGGCTACAAACTCATTAACAAAAAACCTTTTCATGAACAGGTTAGAGAGTGTAGCTTGAGAACGCATATTTCACAACTGAAATGCTTATTACCCAGAAGCCCAACAATGAAAGTAACGAGCAAATAACTACATTGTCTGACCTGCCTACTTTCGGTGCTAACATCATAACATAGGAGTGGTTATTTTGGCCTTGAATTCAATACATGAAATTGTCATGGTGATTGATCATATGCAAACACAGTGAGCATTGGAGTTTGTCGTTCTTAAATTGGAGTTAATTAGGATACAGCTTTTTTTCTTTTGAAAAAAAAAAATCCTGTTCTTGCCTTTTTCCCCTTTTCTCCTGTAAGTGCCAAAGGATGTATATAAATTGTGTAGAATTTTATATTTTAATTGATTTTTTTGTTGTATTTGTATTTGTATTTAGCTTATAATTTTAGCTGATTACAAAATGATCTCGTAATCGTAATATGACGTTTCGTTGGGAGGTCCATTATTAGAAATGGGAATGCGATTTACTGTTTTTCCCCCTCCCTTTAACTTGATTGAAATTACGCCTGCTGCCCTTCTTTGAGTTATGGCGTCAATTAAAATCAGGCAACACATTACCCCTTTCTGTTACTATGAAGTAGGAATGCCAAATTTACACTTGTATATTTCTTTCTCAGAAGGTTTTTCATCATTTATTAAACGACCTAATACTTAATATTTCATTAATTAGTTAAAAATATGAAGGAAATATTCTAAAACTTGCCGCTTATTATTTGCACAAAATAAATTAATTAATTGTTAAGCTAATTTAATGGCCCTATGTAGACGATGATAAACAGGGCCTACTCAGTTGGTACTGCTTTGGTTCGTGTAATCGGTTGCTAGACCCACTGGATTAGCGTGTATTTTAAATGAGCCGTTAAAATGTTAATATAGATCTGTGAGCTGGCATGTGGGCTGTTATGTCAAATTATTACTTTTAAGGGTTATTTTCCGATAAATTTCAGGGTTATTTCTCTCTTTTATAAATGTTTTATGGAAAAAGAGTATATTCTTTTAAAGGTCATAAACTTACGTCATTTTAAAAAAAATATACACAAAGATATGAGACCTATATTTTTATTTTGTCTTTATTTTTTTTCAATGGGACTCACACATCTTTGTGTCTATTTCTCTTCAAAGGACCTAAGTTTGTGTCATTTGAAACATTTTTTCTATACTTTATACCTATGTTTTGTTTAAATTTATAATTACAAAAATATTAATTTATTCATTTTTCCGTTCTATATAATAAAAAATAAATAAATAATTAAATGATACCTCTTACAAGACTTGTACATCTTATGAAGATTTTATTAAGAGATAAAAATATTATTAGTATTTTTTAATTTTAAAGATAATATATATAACCAATTAAAACACATTACTTTTAAAATAAATATATGCAAAGGTAAATAATTGGGAAAAGTAATTAAAAGTTCAAATAAAATCGAGTTCAAAATTCGGGAATGTCATATTACAAACCAAGAAGGGCACAAAGTCCCAAAATCCTAAAATTATGAATACAAAGTACAAAGAAAATTGGCATTTCAACTCTTCAGCTTAGCAGCACCTCGTCATCATAAAATGCAAAGAGATCAACAGGTGTCTCGAACCTGTTCTCGCCTCGGTTGATATGTGTAAAGAATTTTGGGATACACCATCCTAAAAAGTTAGCTCAAAGGGTGGGAGTGTCCAAGACTTTATAAACTTCATATTAGTTGCACATACAAACCAATGTGAGACTATATATCTCAACATGTCCCCTCACACGAGAGTCCATTGGGCTAGAAGCGTGAATATTGCACGGACCCAATTTTGGTTTATCTTTTTGTACTTTTTTTTATTTTAATTCCACTTTAAAGTGGGAGGCGGTGAGGGCTCTGATAATCGTGAGATACACCACCCAAAAGCTAGCTCAAAGGGTGAGAGTGCTCAAGTTCTTATAAACTCCACCTTAGTTGCACATACAAATTAATATAGGACTATATATCTCACCAATGTTGGACGATCTTTCCATCCTTCACATAATAGAGGCCAGAACAAACAGAAGGCAACGTGGTCTCCACAAAAGGATGAAGGAGTGAAGAGAAAGCGGGGTGCATTAGGGACTTCGACAATAGAGGCATCTACAGCTAATTGGATCTGAGCCTCCTTCGACATTATCTCCATCTCAGCTAGGAATTAGGATGGTCTCCTAGTCCTACACCTTAGAAGGAGTTGCAATAGAAGAAGATAAGGAGAGACGCTTCTGCAAGGATGAACCCTGACTTCTTGACCGACAACTTTAACAGCCTTGGCATTGGCAGCCCTTGAAGCATGGATATCTTGAAGTTACATCAACATGACATCTATATCCCAAATTAATTGGGATAAGTGGGCAGATTTATCTAAATAAAAAATATGAAAAAAATTTTAAGAAAAGGAAAAGATTAAAAATAAAATTAAAAGAAATTTAAATAACACCAAAAATATAAAAGATAGAATAAAGTGAAATAAAGGTACATGAGAGAGAGAGAGAAACAAGAAAGTAAAAATAAAAAACATAAAAATATTAAAGAAATAGAGAGATAAAAAAAGAAGAAAATAAATAAATAAGATAAGAAAAATAAAGAGGGAAAAAACTAAAAAGTGAAATAAACGAAAGGGTTTTATAAGAGTTATGTCATAAGAGAAGTGATTGTGTAATATTATAGAGAAGAAACTTTTTTGCTTCAAAAAGTGTGGGTTCCACAAAATATTGTGTGTGTAAAAAACTTTTTTGTGTCATATTAAATGATAAATGCAAACCCCTAAATGAAAAGAAGAATGGAGAAAAAATAGAGATAAAAAAAGAAGGGATATATAAGTATATATAACAATAATGTTATAGGAAAATAGTTGTATCATCTCAAAGAAATAAAAGTTAACGAAGCCCACATAATTTAAAAAAGAGAAAAAAGCGTATAGCACATAAATCAATGGCTCAGTAGAAAAGTTTTCTCATGTCCAGGATACATATATCTCCTAAGAAATAAATAAATAAATGGAGATATAGAGAAAGACTAAAAAAAGATCATTCAAAAAATAGGAAGAAAATTATGTCTAACCCTATGCAATGTTAATAATTTTCTTCCAATTCGTTCTAAGACACACAATTCACTAATCTATATCTCACTCTATTAAATCTTGCTTTACTACCTTCCTTCAAGTAAATTTCGACTGATCTCTTTCTCTCTTTGAGTCGAGTTCTTGGTAACACATGTTTGTGCATCTAAGAGTCTTCATATTATGTGCAAAAACCACTTCAATCTATGATCTTTCATCTTTTAACTATTGGTATGGCTCCTACATTTCGTATTTTCATTTCTTATCTTATCCATCTTCATATGACCACACATTCATCTTAACATCCTTATTTTTGCTACTCTCATTTTATATTCATGTTGTCTATATGCTGACCAACATTCAGCTCTATATATTATTGCAGGCTTCACAATTATTTTATAAAATTTTCCTTTTGGTCTAAGACGAATCTTGCAGTCGCACAAAAATCCCGATGCACTACATCATGACTAATGAACCATGACTATTTTTTATTTTTTATTTTTTTATATATAATTTGCGTTTGTTTTTTTTTTTTGTTTTTTTTGCAGTCAATGTAGATAACTTATCTACATTGAGTTCAAAATGACGCCATTTTGAGACAGAAATCAAGGAATTTTTATAATTAAATTTATTTCAGATTTATAATAGTTTTATTTATTATAATTTTTAATTTTTCAACGCAAAACAATATTATTTTGAGAGTAAATATAAATAACTTATATACATTTACTGCAAAAATATTAAAGCCATGTAAGTTTTATCATAAGTGATATTAATTAATTTTTTTTTTTTGGTACATTGCCAGAGGAGATATCCCCATTCAACCTTCTCCGGGCATCATGCCCTTGGGGTACGGCCCGTTTGGGCTAGCCCCTCATTGTAACAGTGGATGCACTAAGTTTCGCAAGCGGAGAAAGGACGAGACTAATCTCCTAACCGAAGATTTTTTGGCTTATCCTCTAGCCCCCAAAGATTTTCCAAGAAACTGCTTGAGGCAGAGTTTGATCCCTGCACCAAGCAATCCCTTGGAAGCTCAGCTATCAACTGAGCTACCCTTGGGGGTTAATTAATTTCAATTTCACCATTACTGTAAGTCAATACCAAGCAAGCACCAATCAATACGCAGCCCAGTGTCCTCTGTTTCTACTTATTTCCCTTTAGTTGCTGAAGATGGTGAACTGGAGTCTAGGTTGGGTCTTATGGTTGCTTTACTAGTCCAAAAAGAAGGTCCATCTCATTTGTCTTATAATTGCCCTCAACAATGATTCTTCTAGATGAATCCACATCTCTTGTTTCGAAACCATCCACCAGACCTAAATAATTGTGAGAAGTTTTTTTTTTTGTTTTTTTTTCATTCTCTCTTCGATTTTAAAAGTAAAAACAAAAATGTGAAAGAAGGATAAAGAAAATATTGGATATATTAATTATATAGTCGAATAATATGTTTACTTACAAGTTCAATAGGTGAAAACATATTTATTTAGATTCATATGAACTAGAACTCAATAATTTGTATTATTTCTGAGGTTTCTTAAGTCAAAGTAACACTATTGAATATTTCAAATTTAATGTCTTTTGGGGCCCATTTGGTAGCAGGATTTTTTTGTTTTCCTGAAATTCCTTGGTTGGATAGATAAGAATACATCGTTTGGTACAAGATTTTTAAAATATTTTCGGGAATCTAATTTTTTTGGAATTTTATTTTGTGTGTAAATTTTTTTGAAAATACCATCCAAGAATACCACCCTCTAGGTGATATTCTAGGATTTTCATGGCAAGGAAAAATTAAATATAACCAGAGATAACATCAAGAAAATTAATTCAACATTCCCAAAAATATATTAGCCTACCAAATAACTTTTTGGTAACATTTTCATAAAACTCATTTTCTCGTCATATTCCTGAAAATCGTGATTCTCAAGTAAAAAAAAATTATCGTCTATCAAACATCACCTCCTTGATGTAATATTTCAAACATCTTAAAATACTTCTCTCTCGAACTCATTACCTCGAACAAAAACTTTGTCAGCTGTTATTCCGTGAGCGAAAAAAGATGTGTGTGGATGTGAACACAACAAATATAGCGTGACATTGCCATATGGAGACAGACTTACACTCAGAGAACGTGTGAGGACTAAACAAATGAAGATGTCTAGAGTGCAGCCACATGTATTGCAACCGAGCATATGCCAACTTAATTAATCATACCGTGTGGACAACTGCTATGCCTCA